AAAGACATTTTTAACGTAATATTATTTCTTTATTTATATTTATACAAAATATAAGATAAACACAATATTGATATAAACTAATTTAAAATTTCAATATTATATTTGTGTAAATCAAAACTATAATTATTTTTAAATTTGATTCTATCAATTCTGATATCTGTAAACATGTGATTAACAAAATATTGATCATTCTCATCAACAATATTTGCTTCTTTCTTATACCATTTATGAGCTTTGATAATATTTTTAAATTCTTTATCTACAAAAAAATTCCGATTTTCTTTAAAATTTTCATTTTTTTCTTTCTTAGTCTTTCTTAAAACTTTAACTTAAAGATATTCAACAATATAATCTTTATTATCTGAATACATAATAGGTCTTCGAAAATTTGATTGATAATCATCTTGCTACCAAGTATTGAAACTTTGTTTCTTATAATCTTGATCATCTTGTTCAAAATTACAAAGTTTAGTTTATAAACTATTATACTAAATTTTGCTCTCTAAATTGAAATTCAATAAAATCATTTGAAATTAAATAATATTTTTCCTCCTACTACATTACACATAAAATCTATTCTACGTTCTTGTAAATTACTATCAAACATTATATCATCTAAAATCATATAAGAAACATTTAATTTTAAATTAACAATAAAATTACTTTGATATTCATAGCAAAAATAAAATTTTTCTAATCGATAATAATATATTTTTTTAGGAACTAATATCTTTTTACATTTATAATTATATACTTGATAATAATTATTCTTATTTTTCATAGATATCTCTGTAATAATCCAATCTCTAAATAATACTAAATTATTTTCGTATATTATTTCTTCATCAAATTCAATTTTACAATTACCATCAATTGTTATTTGATATTTGTTATTAATTTTTTTAATAAAATTCTCATCAATAATTTTATAATAATTTTATAAAACATTTAATTTATTATTGATATTTCCTTTACTTCTCTAAAATTTGAAAAATTATATTCACTAAGAATAATAGAAAATATTTTAGGTAAAAACATTTTATTAAATCTGAGTTATTAAACTAAATAGATTAATATTAACGTCTGCTAGCCAGCGATGTAATAATCACTTCTTTTTTGTCTAATAGCCACTGACAAAAAATAGTGACTGCATCTGAATTTAATAAATCCTCAACTTCCCTCCTTCTTTCAGTTAAGAAAGGAATTAAGAATTTTTATGATGTTTTGAATGTCTCGTATTTATATCATGTGAGAATTAAAATTTTTATATAACAACATTACTCATTTTCAAAACATCTCAAAATTTAATTAAAAATATTATAAGGAGTTAAAAATTTTATTTAAAATATTCTGTTATTTTTCTTTCACTTTTTTCTTTTATTTCCTTTATATATTCTTTTAATGATCCTTGTTTTGCTAATCTATCAACTTGTTCATTATCATAATTTCCTTGATATTCACGTATATGAACTAATTTTACAATTCCAATACGATTTTCTATTAATTTTTTCAATCTAATAAACAAATCTTTGTTTTTTACAAGTGTATTACAAGATGTCATCTATCCATTTTTTTCCCATTTTTTCATCTATTTTTTATATGCATTAATTACATATTTACTATCTGTTATTATTTCTAATTTCTTTCTCTTATCTTCACAAATCTCTAATGCTCTAATCACAGCAAATATTTCTGTATGATTATTTGTCTGTTCTTTTCCAGGTAACTATTCACTTAAATTTTTAGGATCATTTTTTTTTCAAAATACTCCTATACCTGCTCGAGTATTATTATTTCCATTATCAAATGCACTTCTATCTGTCCAAACTTAAAGAGTATTTGAATCAATATTAATTATTTCTTTTTCTCCTTTAATATATTGTTCTGCTTGATCTTTATAATCAAATTTTTTATATTTTGCATTTGAGAATCCATTAACTTGTGTCTTACAATCTTTCCAAGTTAAATAGATTCCTTGTCTTCTTCCTACACGAACAGCATAATATCCAGGTTTTGATTTTTCCATTTCTGAGTTTATATCATAAATAATTCAAGTAAATGAATCACAATTATGAATACCAGTTGTTTTGAATGATCAGCTGTATCATTATTAAATTCAGATGCAGAAGTGAGAGTTAGTGAATGTATTTATCAGATGATAAACAAGAAAACACAGTAACGACTCTCTCACCTTTTTATTATAGATTTTGATGAATTAAATTTTTATCTGGTTTTCTTTTAAAACTAGATAGAATGAAAGTGAAAATTAGGTCTTTATATAATCGTTCAGAGCTAAGCCACAATTTCGAAAGCTATAAAAGATTGATAAAAATATCTGATACGTAAAGAAAAATGCCAAACATAAAATTCACACAGTATCAGAAATTTGATAACAATAAAGATATTAAGATACTAGACTATGCTGAGATTATAA